GTAACGTTTCCGCGCAATAAGAAACGCCAGCGAGATACGTCGCCACCGGAGCGTGAGAACAGAGAAAAAGTCCAATGCGGAGTCTGCCAGAAGTTCTACGCCCACCTAGACTCCCTCGTAATACAATGCAGAAAATTCCATGAAGGAGAGGGTCTGCCCAAAAAATCGAATTCCACCAATGGGCAACAAAACAACGAAAACAAGAAACTTTCCGGCATTAGTCTGTCCCACGTGTGGTCGTTAATGTGTATGAGTAAGTCAGGCCTAACTCTACACCGTATGTCACGACACGGGTATCAACCTATTCGCGCGCACACCAGTCAACGCGACGAATGCGACGAAACAGCTCTGCATCTCTTGAGTTGCCCCGCTCTTCATCCACTGCGAGTCCAATTTGCGATAGTTGATGATATACCCCTGATGAAACTATGTTTTTCTAAGCGGTTAGCAAAATTCCTTATTGCGGTGGAGCGTAGCTACGCTATGCCATAGTTTTCACATCCTAGAAACCCTACACAGCCTACCTCCCCCTCTAAAATAAGCGACGAGCTCGAATATGGAAACCTTGATGGAAGAGTACGCTCAAGACGTCTGTCGCCGACCCAAGAAGCAATAAAATAAATAGGAGTTCATTGAGGCCAATCTTTCAAAAAAAAAAAAAAAAACCCCAAAAAAAAAAAAAAAAAAAAGGAGACTTGAGGACGGGTTTTGGGTAAGAAAAGTGAGAGTAGAGAAATCTGGTAGGGTTTACTCGATCAGATTTCTCGTAGACTGGTTCTCTCGTTTGGGAACGGGCTACAACGAAAAATCATATTACAAGAGCTTGAGGATCCTATAAAATGAAGGGATCTTCTCCTTCGGAACCACTCGTAAGTCGGTAATTAGGTGCTCTACGGTGTACGGTTGATAGCCGTACCATTGGAGTAATATCCATAACGCTACGAAGAACAAAAAGAAAAACGTGGTGATGCGGTGTGGGGGGTTCATTGGGTGGGGGGTGGAAGGGAATATGTTTGATATTACCCTCCCAATACACACCATGGAGTAAAGGATGTGTGTGGGTGGATGTGATTTTTTTTTTTTTTTGATGATAATGTTGTGGGAGAAGAGAAGATAAACCGGCATTCTGAGGGGAAAAAATAAAATAATAGTAATAAGGATAAATAAAGAGGTAATATGTGTGTGTGAGAGAGTAATTGTGTGTGTTGCCTTCTGTTTGTAAAGAGTGGCATGGTATTACAGTGATGTATGCAGTCATTTATTGTTATGGTTGTGGGTGAGTGGGTTTTGGATTCCAATTGTGGTGTTGGTATAAATATTATGGTGATGCATTGGTTTTTTTGTTTTTTTTGTTTGGAAGTGTGTTGATTATTGTACACTCTCTTTGTTTTGCTGATTGTTTTGTGGTATTGTTTTTGTTTGCTGCCGGGCGTACACTGTGGTTTTGGTGTATTTTGGTGTTCAAACTGCCTGGTAATGGTTTTATTATAATGAGAATACAGACACACTTTGTGTGTATGAATACCGAGTAAGATATTGGAGTGTGTGTAGAGACGTTTATTTAATATTGTTTTGATACCATTTGTTTTCCACTTCTTTCTAAATTCAAGGTGTTGTTTCAATATCTGTGTAACTCTGGGTGTGTTTTATTGGGTGTGTGGTTTACTGTTGTGTTCCCCTCATTGGGTTGTGTTTGATTGCTCTTGTGATGTGTATTCTCTCACTCTTTCTTTTGTTGATGTGTACCCACTGCTTTGGTGTCGGGTGTGCGTCTCTTTTCTCCTTTTTCTCTTCTTCCTTGTTACCACAGACCCAAGCAACCCACAGTGACAATCATGACAACGATGTTCATCCAACTGCGCCGCGTGGTGTACCTGTTGGTACTTCTGCAGTGCTGCGTGTGTGTGTCATATGCGGATCCCTCGGGGAGGGTGGCGGCGGATGGTTTGAAACGTGACGAAGAAGTACTGGACGAACACCAAGATGTTTTGGCGGCGGAGAATAAGGCAAGGGCATGGATAAATACGGTGGACGAACACCTTGCCGAGGGAAGAGGTTATTCAGCAGTATGGGAGGAGGTTGTGAACTCGACGAACGCAAGTTCCCAACTTGCCAACTCCACCGCCATGGCGGTTAAAGAACTTGTGGAGGAACTTGATAAGAAAGCGGTGGTGAAGGGGGGCACAAAATACAAAATGGTGGATGGAGATGAAAACAAAATCAAAGAATTGGTGCAGAAGATCAAAGAAGCAGTTACGAACACAGAATCACGTGTGTACGAAGTATGGGGTGCAAGGTGGCATGGCTTGCCCTCACTTGGTACACTGGAAGATGCAGTTAGGGACTTCAACGAAACCCGAGAGTATTATTTGAGAAAACTAGCAGAAGCAAATGTAACGTACTGGACACCGGATAAGATAAAGATCGCCAAAGACAGTAACAAAACGTACCATGAATTATTTGCTATCACGGAAAAATATGTTAAGTTGAATGGATTGAGTATTGTTACCGAGTCAGAGGTTCGGGGACGTATAAAGGAGGTGCAGAACACGATGGAGGGTGTAAAAAATAAACTCACGGAGATTAAAACAAACAAGGTGGAGGGTGATGCAGGGAAGATCGACGGGATTCTGAGTGCGATCAAAGAGATCGATACCCCATGCAAGAATGTTTTGAAGGCAGTGGATGCGAGGCCCATTGGTACGGCTAAACCGAAAAAGGGTGTGACCATTGGTGTGAGAATGAAGGCGGAAAAAAAGAGAATAAAAGAACTCATACCAGTGGAGAGGAAGGCAGAGGCAGATCGGTTGGCTAAAGAAGAACAGGCGAGAAAGGATGAGGCGGCGAGACAAGAAAGAGAGAGGCAAGAGAAACTGAAAGAAGAACAGAGACTGGCCAGGGAACGGGAGAGAATGGCTCAAGAAGAAATGGAAAGGAAGAAAAAGGCAGCAGCCGAAGAGGCGGAGAAGAGAAAAGCTGATGAAAAAAGAGCCGAAGAAGAAAAGGCTAAACAAGATCAGGAGAGGAAGGAAGCAGAAGAAAAGGCTCAAGGGGCTAGAGAAGCACTGAAGAAAAAGGAAAAAGAACAGCTGGAACGGGCAGCGGAAGAGGCGAAAAAAAAAGCAGAAGCGACTAAGAGGAATGACAACAGCTACAGTCCCGCATTAGCGCACAGTCCCTTACTGCTGCTTCTGCTGTGTGTGTTGGGCTACACTCTCGTGTGCTGATTGGTGTTCCCATGACACAGTTGCACAGTTAACCTTTGTTTAAGTGGATATGGATGCATTGTAAGGGCACTGTACTTTTGGTTGAATTTTAATGTTTCTTTTTTTTCTCTTCCAGCACGATAAATCTCTTGTTTGCATTTTTTGCTGAACAAGTCTATTGGACTCCCTATGGCACTCATCACATGACAAACCATCATTTTGTGAGGGGAGTGTCCTCTTTGTTTGTTGGCATTATTATCTGGGCTCTGTTTTGCCGCCATTCACTGTGCATACCTGGTGATGTGTGTGTGTTCCGTGATATTAATAACTATTGCTTTTACCCATGGGAATGGTATACAATCCTGATGTGTTTTAATTGCTGTGACTGAAATGTAAAGAATGGCAGGAGGTTCAAGACACACAAACACACACACTACCAACCCTCCTTCTCTTTGTGTGTGTGTGGACTGTCATCATGTGTGCATCATTCCCATTGCTCGCCCTGTACGAAAGAGACACACACGTTGTCGGGAATTGTGTTTTTGCCTCCTGAACATATTCACATGGTGATCACGGCTTTCTTTTCATTTTGTTTTGTTTTCATTTCATTGTTTTTCCCTTCTGTGTGTATGTTTCATTATAATTTCATTGCACGTGTTATGTGCAGCTGTGTGTTTCTCTTTTGCGTTTCCTATACACCTTGTGTATCTTGTGTGTTCATTTTTATGAAATGATTCTTTTTTTTTTCATTATATACAAACTGCTGCACGGACATCAAGAATAAAGATATGGGAACGGCAGGTTCAGTACACAGTGATTTTCCGTTGTTAACCTTGGAGTGGATTGGACTGTGTCCAGGCATCGCAGTCACATTAAGTAATGAATTTCTTTTTCTTTCTTTCTTTTGCTCTATTATTGTGTCTGCCTCACGCAGTCACTCTTTTTTTTACATTTTTATTTTGGTATAAAGATTGGTGGGTTATGGGTGTTTGAGTGTGCCCCTCTGTTGTGTGTTCCTTTGTGTGTTTGGGTTTGCTACTCACGCCACCCACGTAATGAAAACACATTTCTTTGTTCTCACCTTCTCTCTCGGTGGTGTCACTCACACGGCATTGCCACGAACATATTTGTGCCCTTGTGGTGTGTGTTGTTTGTTGTGTGGCTTGCTTGAGTGACTGCGGCCTGCGGGGAGATGGACTGAGACTGTTCCGCCTTGGCTCCACGTAATGGGTCTGTTTTTTTTCTTTTTGGGGGTTGAGTTGATGTACTGGTGTGGGTGAATGTTTTTTTCTGGTGAGAGTGGCACCTGTGATTATTGTATTGTGAGTGCTTTGTGTGCTGTTGGTATCCTGTTGTTGTTCTTTTCCTGTGTTTTTCTTTTCTTTTGTGTTTTTCTATTCCTCTCTGTAGGTGTGTGACACCGGTGTATATTTTAGTGAATGCGGCAGTGCCTTTCTGACATGAGCATGTGGGACTGTCATTGTGTGTGTGTGCACTGTGAGTGGAAAGGATGCCGTTGTGTTGCTGGACCACTCCGCTGCGGCCTCTGTGGGGTGCATTGAATGGCGGCGTGGTGATATCCATCGACATGTGTGTGAGCGACTGGAGTGGCGGTGTGGATCCTTTACGCCAACCCACTGCCCTGCGGTGCAATTGGGTTCACACATGAATGGATTAATGAGATTCCCTCTGTCCCGAGTTACTATCTAGCGAAACGACAGTCAAGGGAACGGACTTGAAGGGCTAAGCGGG